ACACATGCTCGAACCCTATTGGAGCATCTTAAAAGTTTGTATGCTCGAAAAACTGGCAACAATAAAATGTTCTTAATAAAGCAGATGTTGAGTTTAAAGTATCATGTTGGTTCTCCGATGACAGACCATCTGAATAATTTTCAGGGGATCATGAACCAGTTATCTGCTATGGGCATTAAATTTGATGAAGAAATTCAAGGCTTGCTTCTACTTGGTTCCCTACCAAACTCTTGGGAAACATTTAGAACTTCATTGTCAAATTCTGCTCCGGATGGTGTAGATCTCAATGGATTCTGCCAAGAGTAGTGTCTTGAACGAAGAGATGAGAAGAAAATCTCAAGGTTTTTCTTTGTCGGATGTCCTGATAACTGGCTCCAGGGGGAGAAGCAAAACTCGTGGTTCTCAAAATAGAGAACAAAATAGGAGCAAATCCAGAGGCAGACTTAAGGATATTGAGTGCTATCATTGTGGCATGAAAGGGCACACAAAGAAGTTCTGCATAAAGTTGAAGAGGGGAGAACAAAAACAAAGAGGAAACTAAAGAAGATGGCAATGAAAATTGCCTAGCCACCGTCACCACCGAAGATCTTGTTATTGTCCTTGATGCGAATATGATAAATATTGTCTGTGATGAGTCAAGCTGGGTTGTGGACACTGGTGCCGCATCTCATGTGACATCAAGAAAGGATTTTTTTCTCTTCTTATACTCCTGGTGATTTTGGAACCTTGAGTATGGGTAATGAGACTGTTTCTAGGGTGGTTGGTATTGGTACAATTTGTTTGAAAACTAGTGTTGGAACTAAACTAGTTTTGAACAATGTGAAACATGCTCCTGATGTTCGTCTACACCTGATTTCTGTTGGTGTTTTGGATGATGAAGGATATGTTAGTACCAACGGTGATGGAAAATGGAAACTCATTAAGGGTTCCTTGGTTGTGGCTCGTGGTAACAAACGTCGTGGTCTATATTGGACTACGGCCTCTGCTTGTGTTGATATGGTGAATGTGGTTGAAAGCGATAGCTCTTCAACGTTATGGCACAAGAGGCTTAGCCACATCAGCGAGAAAGGACTTAATGTTCTAGCCAAAAAGAAATTATTGTTAAATTTCAAAAGTGCTAAATTAGAAAAGTGTGAGCACTGCTTGGCTGGTAAACAAAATAGAGTTTCTTTTAAGTCCTACCCCCCTTCAAGAATGACAGAGTTGCTTGAATTGGTGCACTCTAATTTATGCGGTCCAATGAAGACAAGGACATTGTGTGGTGCACTCTACTTTGTCACTTTTATTGACGACTGCTCGAGAAAACTTTAGGTCTATGTCTTGAAGACTAAAGACCAAGTGTTTGGTGTCTTCAAGCAGTTTCAGGCTTCAGCTGAAAGAGAAACTGGAAAGAAATTGAAATGTATTCGTACTGATAATGGTGGTGAATATTGTGGACCATTTGACGAATACTGCAAGCATCAAGGCATTAGACACCAGAAGACTCCTCCTAAGACTCCCCAGCTTAATGGTTTGGCTGAAAGGATGAACAGGACCTTGATGGAAATAGTTAGATGTTTGCTTTCTGAAGCAAAGTTGCCGAGCTCATTTTGGGGCGAGGCGTTATTGACCGCTGCACATGTTATTAATCTATCTCCTGCTGTTGCTTTGCAAAGTGATGTACCAAATAGTGTTTGGTATGGAAAAGATGTTTCCTATGACCATTTGAGAGTATTTGGTTGCAAAGCTTTTGTACATGTGCCGAAAGATGAGAGGTCAAAGTTAGATGCCAAGACAAGGCA